TTGTAAAAAAACAGTGATTTGAGGGCATCTGGGTCACTCAGTTGGTTAAGCATCTGACTTTTGATTTTGGCTCAGGTCATGATCTCATTGAACCCCGTGACGGGCTCTGTGCTAACAGTACATAGCCTGCTTGGGATTCTCTCTCTCCCCTTTCTCTGCCTCTCTCCCACTCATGCTCTCTATTTCAAAATAAATAAATAAGCATTTTAAAAAATTGAGTGGTTTTTCTCTCAGAATGGTTATACTGACAAATGGAACTGAAGAAAAAGACCAGAGATAGACCCAACTATACATAAGAATTTAATATGTGGCAGGTATGCTGGGAAATCTGTGGAGCAAGTCTGCATTGTTCAATAAATTGTATTCTGGCAAATAACTTTTTGAAGAATTATATTCCTATATCATAATTTATACAAGAACAAATTCCATTTGTAACTAGATGAAATAAATAATCATATTGTGAAAAACTTTTAGTAAAATGTGAATTGAAGTAATTAAGAAGTATTATTTAGGCTAATAAAGCCTTATTAGCCTTAAAACCAAAGCCAGAAACCATGAAGAACACTTTGATAGACTATTTAAAAATTATAGCAAAACAAGCAATTTCACTTCTTCTCTCCCCAAATGTATGTTCAACTGAGGAACAAAATCGGGACATATATAGGAAATAAAGGTACATTATCCTTGTAATGCAAAGAATTCATATAAATCAAGAAGGAAAAAGACAAATACTTTTTCCCACTGCAAAGAAAAATGAGCTCAGAGGTGAACAGGTTGTTCACATTACATGTCAAGTGGTCACGTGAAAAACATTCAGCCCTCTAATAATCAAAGAAACACAAATTGACACAAAAGATGCCACTTTTTATTTGTGGATTGGCCATTTTAAAAAGAACAAGTCCACTGTCTTTGAGTGCATAGGACTAACTACTGTTGCACATCATTGGTGAGAGATACCTTTCTGTAGGTAATGAAGGTCTCTATATAAAAATGGTATCTAAAAATTCTGCTTTCAAGAATTTATCCTAAGAACGCTCTAAGTGAACAAAGATATTTGTACAATATTATCATGTGGTTTATGATAGTGAAAAAGTCAATGCAACCTAAGTGTTATAGAAACTGGTTGAATAAGTTGGAAAGTTCATGTAATGGCATTCTAGACAGTCATCAGAAATAAGCATGTGGGCGGGGGGGGGGCACCTGGTGGCTCAGTTGGTTGAGCATGTTCAGCTCAGGTCATGATCTCACAGTTCATGAGTTCGAGCCCCACATGGGGCTCTGTGCTGACAGCTCAGAGCCTGGAGTCTGCTTCTGATTCTGTGTCTCCCTCTCTCTCTGTCCCTCCACACTCTTGATCTGCCCCTCTCTCTCAAAAATAAACATTAAAAAAATTTTAAAAAAAGCATGTGAGTCTGTACTAGCTGTCTGAAAGATATCCACAATATATTCATGCCAGAACAGTTGAGTTCAAAGAAATAAAATCAAAACAAGTGTCTGTACATAGAAAAACTATGATATACCCAAATTTTAGTGACAGTTATTTTGGAGTAGTTAGGTTGGACAGGTTGTAATGTCTTGTTACTTATTTATACATTTCTACACCATCTGAATCTTTTGCAATAATCATTATAACCAGAAAAAAAAACCCACAAAACATCTGTAAAGAAAGAGTGAGAAGAATGAATAGAAGAAAAGGGAGTGATAGTGAAGGGGAGAAGACGCATTTTCTAGGAGGTTTACTCTTGCTTTGTTGCTTTTTTGTCTTCTGAGGCTACATTGTAAAAAATTCTCCTTCAGTTTTCTACTTTTAATCCGATCGGAGAGCCTCTTAAAATACATGTATTTAAACCAACATCTTGCAATTTAGGGAAAAATATAAGAAATCAATCCATGATCTTGAGAATTTAGGAGATTTGCCTAAGGAGAAAATTCAGTTGAATGGGATTACCAGCCACACAAGCGCCTGTAACCCAAGAGGGGCCAGAGCATATAGCAAGCACCTTGCACTGTTTGCTGCTCTGCTGCAGCAAAACCTTTCCCAACGGGAAAGTTGGGAAAGACGTGCATGTTCTTTCCTTCTTTATTCTTCTAGATACCATAGCTCATATTTATTTTTGTTCTTTGCAGCATTGCACAGTTGAATTTTGTGTTATACCTTCAGCTGGAACTGGAGACCTTCTTTATCTATGAAACTGGAGACCTTTTTTATTAACCCATTTAATAAATATGATTGAAACCTAAGCTGTGGCAGGTACTGTTCTAGATATTTGGGATTTATTAGTGTCCATGGTTCCTGGAACTTGCTTTCTATCCCTGTAAGAAACAACCATATAAAAGTAGCTATTTGTTGAAGCTATTTGCTACTTATTCAGTACCCCCAAGAGAAGTTTCTTAAGACCTAAAATCTGAAAAGTGGATAAAGGAATTCATATAAAGTTAACTCGTGGGCAAAGAGGGAAAATTTTTCCCTTTTGATTTGCCAGGGAAGTTTAGTCTATTGTTAACTCAACTTGAGTAACTGTAAGATTTTATGTCTGTCCTATTCCAATCAAACTTTCCCCCCTTTTGGAACTCCTTATCTTCCCATTTCCTCTATATCTTCATTGGCCTTGCTTTTAAAATTTTTGAATTTTTTTGTTTCACGGTATTCTAATGTACTTGTACAGTGCTTCAAATCTCAAATACCTTGTGGGGTTAGAGAACAAGATACACCATGAGGAAACAGACATATCCAGAATGTGGTGTGTTTTTTAAGACACATGACCTTCTCTCTTCAAAAAGCCAATAGTAAGAAAAGCTAAAAAATGGGAGGGATTATTATTCGAGTTTGAGAAATGGGAAAAAAACTTCTCAAAAACATAGCCAAATGTAACAAGTGACCCTTGTTTGGATCCTGGCTCAAAAGAAAGTATCCACTATAAAAGATTATCTTCAGGAAAGATGAGGAAATTTGAAGATGGCATGGAAAATAGATAATTTTAGTAAATTATTGTTAATCTTCTCAAGGCCTAATAAGAGTATTATGATTATGAAAGAGAACGTTCTTATGCTTAGAGATACATACTTAAATATGTTGGGGTGATATGTGTTCTCTGCAACTTTGGAATGATTCACCAAAATTTATGTTTTACAAACATTTATAAACAGATAAAGCACATTTGGCAAATGATAATTGTTGAATTGTTGAGTCTGGATATTGGGTAGTATTGCTGAATTAGAGTGAATTATTCTTTCATATATTCTGTGAAATATTTGGAAACTTTAAAAATTGATATATATCTATTTATTATGCAAAGATAAAATATATAAAACTGATTATAAAAAATATTCAAATATTTTAGTGAAACAATTTCTTATGCAGTAAACTTCTAAAGAAAGAGACTAACGCCTTAATTTTCTATGGGGATTAAATTTAGAGACCCTATTATTATGGTCCAATCATCACTAGAGCCACTAGAGGTGTTTGGTAGAATTTTGATTTCCAGTGTTACACAAACCTACAGACCAGTCTATGGGTAATTTACATATTCATTAGCTCCCTGAGTAGTATTTTCATTCACCTGATTTTGGGAATCATTATCTTGGATTTCATATTTTGCATTTACACTTCCTAATGTATTCTTCTTAAATGGCTATTTTCTTAGGCAAGCCATTAGAAATTGTAACAGATAAATTGTGGTTAAATTCAAAAAATATGCTTCAGGTATCATTTGTAAAATGAATCAATGAACCTTATGTTAAAACTCTTTTAGGGAATTATATACTCTACCTGATAGAGATATATCTTTCTTGTTATCTTGAGGGAGGGAGACCACAGCATTGTCACAAAAGTGAATGTGTATGTAGCCTTGAAAGGGAAAAAAGCTCTAAAATTCCTAAAGAACTTGGACAGAAATTTAGTTGAAACCCTAGAGTTATAAGGAGAAGAGTTAGCCTCGATAATGTAGTCCATTTCAATATCTATTTTTAAATTAGAATTTCTTTTATGATTTAAAGAAAAGTTGATGTCAAAGAATATGTGATCCTAAAATATTGACCAGAATAAACAAAATATAAAAAAAAAACAAACCTGTGGTTATCACAACTATACATCTAAGTACGTTCATAAAATTGTGAACACAATGAACAGAGAAAAGAATACAACAAGGGTGTTCAACTTGACTACAGGGATTTTAAGAGTACTCTTTTTACCCTGATAGCTGAAAACAGCAACAAAATTGGGCTCATTCAGGAAAAACCAGAAAAATATTGTCTTTGGAAACTGGTAACAGTCCTTTTTAGGAAAAACATGTCAGTTTCATGAACAACTCCCAGATAAAACAAAGAGGAAAAAAGTCACACACACGATTCATTCTATTAACACAACCAGCAATACAACCATCGCTCAAACCATGAGGTAGCGACAGTACAAAAAGACTGGCGCGCATATGCACACCCACACATGCTCACAATACGCCAACTACAGAATACACACAGAAAATGCGTTTACAATCTTATTACAGACAAGGAAAAGACCTTTTTTTGTTGTTTAGAAAAGGCATAGAAATGGCCTAGACGTTTTAATAAAATTATAATTAAAACTTGGAAATTAAATTATATATGAATGACTTATTTACTTTTTTCCCCTAGCACTCTGTGTTTGAATGAAATGATCTTGTATTACAACAGAAGGGGAAAGGATTCAAGCGGTGTTTTATCACCAGTCTTAAAATTCCATGGACATGCAGGGTAACTAAGATTTTTCGTAAATTTGGTATTTAAAAGATCATTTCTGAGAGAGTCGTTTCACTGGAAGTGGAAGCTAGAATATGCAGGGTTGAGAAGTGAGGGCGGAGAGAGTAGACCACTTCTTGATAAATTCGGGGTTTGTTATTTTTGCCGCTGTTACTATGACATCACTGGAAAGCTGAAATTACTCCCACTCCGGACCTTACTGAACTCTCGCGATACTAGAGCTCAGTGGCGCGCGAAACGCCGTGGGAGGGGCTGGGGTAAGATCAACCGACTTCCGGCCAGGCCGTTGTCTGGGTGGCGCGGTCGAGTCATCGTTGGGCCTCGCCGCTTCGATCTCCTGTCCCTTCCCCCCCACCCCCCGCCCCAGCGCGGGGGGTCGACCAGTCAAGTGGCGCGGGAGTCGTCTCGGATCTTCCCCTTCATTTCGCTGTGGCCAGCTCCCTGGCTCCCCGCGCTGGGGGTCTGGGGTCCTTGGGGGCCCGCGAGGCCCGGTCTGAGGGGCCGGGGCCTACGTGGGCCCGCCGCTGGGCCCCATGAGGCATAGCCTGACCAAACTGCTGGCGGCCTCAGGCAGCGACTCCCCAACCCGCAGCGAGAGTCCGGCGCCGGCCGCGACCTGCTTGCTGCCCCCGGACCTGACCCGGGCGGCGGCAGCTGCAGCGGCGGCGGCGGAGGAGGAAGAGACGGCGGCGGCCGGATCTCCCGGCCGCAAGCAGCCGCGCGGCGACGAGGGCGAGTTGGAGGCCGGGAGGGGGGGCCGCGGCGGCGTGGCCGTGCGCGCGCCCTCGCCCGAGGAGATGGAGGAGGAGGCGATCGCCAGCGTCCCCGGGGAGGAGACGGAGGACATGGACTTTCTGTCCGGGCTGGAACTGGCAGATCTTTTGGACCCCCGGCAACCGGACTGGCACCTGGAGCCCGGACTCAGCTCGCCCGGGCCTCTCTCGTCGTCCGGCGGAGGCTCGGATAGCGGCGGCCTGTGGAGAGGGGATGACGACGACGAGGCCGCGGCTGCCGAGATGCAGCGCTTTTCTGACCTGCTGCAGAGGCTCTTAAACGGCATCGGAGGCTGCAGCAGCGGCAGTGACAGTGGCAGCGGCGAAAAGAGGCGGAGAAAGTCCCCAGGAGGAGGCGCGGGCAGCAGCGGCAACGACAACAACCAGGCGGCGACAAAGAGTCCCCGGAAGGCGGCGGCGGCTGCTGCCCGTCTCAATCGGCTGAAGAAGAAGGAGTACGTGATGGGGCTGGAAAGTCGAGTCCGGGGTCTGGCAGCCGAGAACCAGGAGCTGCGGGCCGAGAATCGGGAGCTGGGCAAGCGCGTGCAGGCACTGCAGGAGGAGAGTCGATACCTACGGGCCGTCTTAGCCAACGAGACCGGACTGGCTCGCTTGCTGAGCCGGCTGAGCGGCGTGGGACTGCGGCTGACCACCTCGCTCTTCAGAGACTCGCCCGCCGGTGACCATGACTACGCTCTGCCCGTGGGAAAGCAGCAGCAGGACCTACTGGAAGAGGACGACTCGGCGGGAGGAGTGTGTCTTCATGTGGACAAGGATAAGGTGTCGGTGGAGTTCTGCTCGGCGTGCGCCCGGAAGGCGTCGTCTTCTCTTAAAATGTAGGGTCAAGTAATCTGCTCTTTATCCGCGTTTACCCCTTTCAACTCCCTTACACCATGTAAAACACCTTAGTGGGACATCTTCACTGGACACATTTCAGAGGAGGAAAACAGTAATATTGAATCTTTAAGTGTTTAGCTAAAAGCATGAATGTGACACTGTAACCAACTCCTAATGATAACATGTGACTATTAAATCTCTCTGACAGTTTCTTTTTTAGGTGATTTCCTTCCTGCCAGGCTCCGTTGTAGGGGTTACAGAACAGTCGTTCCCGCCTCACAACCTGGTAAGGATCCATCTCTTCACGTAACGCTCATGCTCTGCTGCTTAGTCTACTTTAATGGGCAACATCTCAATATGTGTGTGTGTGGAGGTTTTTTTTTCTTTTTTCTTTTTTGGAAGGTGGGAGGGGAAATCTAATTTGGGCCCTGTCCACCCTGGAAACAGACTTGTGCTGGTCAATAATGTATTTAAGATGCTTCTTCTGGTTGAAATAGCTGTTAATGTGTCCCCTTGTTCAGACTTGCGTGTACCTAGCTCTTCTGTCCCCAGTGTGGACATGGCCTTGGATGACATCGGTTCCAACTGTACACTGAAAGCTGCTAATAGAGATACAGTTTGGAGACAGTGAAACAGGTGAAGTTGAATGGAAGTTCCGAGTTGTACAAGGTGCAAATTGGAATTCCAATGTTAGAGCAACTTTTTAGAGGCTGACAATAAGTATTTGGGGCTTGCACAAATGTGATAGTTATTTTGATGGAGATGACAGAAATGTCTTAAATATTTGGGAATGCCATTTAGTTTTCAGAAGGAGATGTAGAAATACAAAGTATTCAGAGTAAAAGATTTTAATATCTCACCATTAGAGAGGTTGGAAATTAACATGCATATCTGTGTTATTGAAGGAGGAGTAATAATGGTTAATGAAATGTTTCTTTGAGGACCAGCACAGTGATTACCTTATCACTGAGTATAAATAAATTGTTAAACACTTTTACTTTTGTTGTATTAAAATTTTAGGTTAAATTTATGTATGATTAGATATTGAAGGTTGTGAAATGTGAATGAAAACGTGTAAAGTGAGGCTTCACAAAGAATCTTACTCTCCTTATTTCAAAGGTTTTTGTCCTATTTAAAAATAATTTTTAAAGTTGAGTGGTTCTGGCTACTCAAGAACACGATTGACACTTTTTCCAAAGATGGGACATATTCTTCCCTTGAAGTACTGTATTATCCATTGTCTGATTGTATAGATTCAGTTACTGTGTCCTTCAGTGTAAGAGGCATTAAGAAATTCTTTGTGAAACATCACTGTTTGATAAAGTATATACATATTTAGCATCCTTGTTTTTCTTTGTGCTAAAGTGGATACAGCTGTTGGGGCAGAAGAGACGGGACCAGCTGCTGGCCACATTTCCTGCTTTATTTTAAAAGGTAGTATAAGAAATGAGGAAAAAGAGGTAATATCAGGGCTTCTGCTGTCTTTTATTTTAAAATGTTCATAATTAAAAAGTATTTTCCAGCAGTCCAAAGATGTAAGTTATCTTACACATAAAATGTTTTGTTGTTATTTGGTTATAAAAATGGAATCCTTGTTCTTGCACAACTGTAAATGTTTTGTTGCTAGATAACACAATTTGAGACCTAACTTGGTCTCTGGTTTCCAGTGCATTACAGCATATTTTGTAAAATCATCTACTGCACTTGAGCATGAATGGGTAATAGCCAAACTCACAACCTGGAGTGATGAACCTGCTTATACCTAAGTGCAGGAGCAAGCCCCTCACAATGCAGCTGCATGGATTTTTAGTGCCTACTGAATTATATATATATATATATATATACACACACACACAAACCAAAAGTAGTTGGAAAAATTATTTGAAATGACTAATTTGTGCTATCTCTATGGAATATGTTAAATGTAGCTTTTTGAAACAGAAGCCTTGAATTGAAATTTAATTAATACTTGAACATTTTGTATATATTTCTTTGTATATAATTTTGTGCAGTACCAATGACAAAAATATGGTGTCATAATAAAACCAGGTTTGTTGATCTTTCAGTTATGGGCTCAAAGAATTTATTCATCTCTAACATGACATTGGAAAATAATGGATGAAAATAGGAAAAATGATTATTGTTAATGCTGACTTTGGGTCTTAAAAGGTTCTGGAAGCAGTAAGTGTGTTTTTCTAAAATACCATTCCCTTGGAATATTTTCTTCCTAATGTCATTGCTTTTCCTGCATTATTTGAAGTTTGGGGCTGGGGAGAAATAGTAGTCAGAGCTTTCTGAATTGGAATGCTTTGAAAATTCTAAGTGTAGATTTTTAGAATGTCATTTTATAAATGGCAGTTTTTGGAAATACTTGAGTAAGAACTTTTGAGAATGGAGATTAGTATCACCTATTTTTAAAGCTGCTTATTTAGGTTACTTACGTTTTAACTGTCTTTTCTTAGTTTCCATTTCATTCTCCTTTTTTTTTTTTCCCCTAATTTTGGTGACTTAGTGATTTTGTCATTTTTTACATCAACTTCATGGTCTTGTTTTTACATGGTATTGCATGTATTTAGGACCTAACAGGGGCTTTAAATAAATTTGATCATATTTATGTGTAAGCACATTTTACTGTAAATGTTTGGGTTTCTGAATTTACAACAGATCTGTTTATTTCAGTATGTAGTAAACAATATCTTAAAGTGTCCGATTCACTACTTGTTAATTAAAAAAAGTTATGATTAATATGAAACTGTTGTCTTACTATTTTTAGAAAATTGTGTTCTGAATGATTAGTAGTTGGATAAAGGAGATTTCTGGAATATAATAAGGATTGTTTTGAAATTTTAAGGTTTGGCTCTATTTACTTTAGTGGTTGAAAACAACTTAGTATTTGGGAAACTTTTTTTTTTTTCCCTAATTGCCTCTATGGCAAAATGATGCAGAATTAAAGAGGTAGTTTTTTTTTTAATATTTGCCTTCTGATGGTGACAGGAATTCATACATTAATTGAACTAACACATCATATTGACCTCCTATTTCTGTCATATTGACTTACTGTTTCTGCACTTTCTTGACCAGTCCTAACTAAAAAGTCCACATTTGTTAAAATGTCACACCTCTGATATAATCCGACAAAAAGTGTTCAAAATATTTTAAATATTTGTGCATTTTGTAATCACTAAATTAATCTCTCTCTCTTCTCTTTAAACAGCTTAGCAGTGTCTGCAAAAACGAATCTTTTCCTACAACCTGTTAACTGACTGGACTGATGGTAACAAAGTAATTGTGGGAGCCATGTCGGTCAAAAATTTGGCATCTGCTGAAAAAAATGAATGCCATATTCAAGTTCCCAAATTACTTCTGTACTGATTTCACTTTCCAGATTTCACTTTCCAGAAATGGAGATATGAAAAGATTCTCTGGAATCCTTGAAAGACTTAATAGAAATACATGAGACTAAGTTAATTTTGGAACAAAATCATACCCTTTTGTCTTTCATGGGAGTGATACTCAGTTCTTGCATACCTTTTAAAAATTGTAACCATTGGAGAAGAGAATTATAGTATTTCATCAAGGAATAATAGAGTCTTTACACAATCAAGAGCACATTCTGTAGAATTACATTTTAGTGGAGTAGAATTACATAAACAGGCCATCAGGGATCACAAAGCATATCATGAGTTTGTATTTATTTCCTGGAACTTGAGAGCTAATCTGAAGTATAGGCTGACCTTGCTGAGTAGAATATAAAAGTTAATGTAAAGTCCTTAACTATAAAGAGTAGTCTTTTTAAATAGATGCATTGATTTGTCTTGTGTATCTGAAAAAATTGATTATGATTAAATATGTGAGTAGTTAATTACAATTCAGGGTAATAGGATGTTTGGATTCTGAGGTTTTGGCTTCTTGAGTTTTCTCTGAGTACTTGACACTTTCTTGCATATTTTGAGGTTTCTAACGGTATCGTAGTTTCTACTGTTATATATTAAAATTTCTCTAGTGTTACTTAAGGGCTTTAGTATTCTGGATGATGGGAGTGTTTTTTTTTTTTTTTATGCGGAATGTGATTGTTTTACTTAATTGAAACATTTTTCCAGTTTATTACAAGTGTGAAAAAACACTCAAAACTCTGGATTGTTTTATTTCATTTCATTGGATTATGTTAATACATTATTTAGTCTGGTCTAGACTGAGTCATTTTATCTTACTGACTCATTGGGAAGTGTGTAGATCAGAGAGGTGGGAGGGGTAGGAGATAGCCAGAATGAATTATCATAACTATACAGTTTAGTTATTGTATGATATTATACAAAATTTATTAAATCCACTGTCGCTTGTAATCTAAGTATATTCAGTGCCTGTGCTGCCAGGCAACAATGAGCATGTGTAGTGGTTTATACTCAACTGATGGATATTCCTACAGTTCCAGCAGTATAACTGGTTGTATTTCTACAACCAAAGATTTGGCATTAACACTAGTTGGTGATGATTAATTACTCCTTTGATAGAACAGAGTGGATAACTCACTGATAATGAGTAATTACCTTTAAAAATACATGATTACCTAGTTCAGCATTTTGAAGTTCTAGTTTAAGGTCTCACTAATTTATTCAGAGTTTTAAGTTAAATAATCTGATGATTCTTAAAAGTTGAGTAGGTACTGAAATACTTTTAAGTGTTTACTTTTTCCCCCAGACTCTTATTAATACAAAGTGTTGAGACCCTCCCAAATGTTTATATTTCTGTATTTTACTGTGTACTTTTTTCTTCAGAAACCAGGTAGTTAACCCTCTAAGCTAGGGATCAGAAAGGGGAGGGTCTCCATTAGAAACTTGTAGAATGTTTTGTGTGGCCGGCATAGTATTTTTCATATATTTGAACGTGAATACCTCAATCCTGTCTGGCAGTCACTCGTTGTCTTACAATACCAGATAGCTCTCAGCTCTGATCTGTTTGTAGTAAAATGGTCATTTACTTTCAGTTTTGAAATGTAGAAAAATTAAACGAGGTGATTTAAATTTTATTCAGAAAGTAACCATCTTTAGGCATATAAATCATGCAGTATCAGGGAAAAATTGATTTTTAAAAAAATATATAGGTTGGTTAATAGAATGTTGTTGCTCATGAACTTTCCTTTTTCATTGCTTTGGTTACTGATAATAGTGTTTTTATTCCTACTTTTTTACCTTCCTCAATTTGTACATTCAAGATTTCTTAATTAGAGCCATTTCCCCCAATTTTTAAAAAGAAACCAGTTTACAATCGACTTTAATAATTTTTATAGTTTTGTTGACCCCAGATTATTTTTTCCTGAAAATTATTTTGCTTAATTTTCAATCTAATTTAAAAATGTAGTCACTGATGGTGTTTTGAAAAATTGCGTCGTTGGGATAATATGCACAGTTTGATTTTTATTGGTGGCCCAACTTTTCTTTACTGTGCCTCCAAATGCTATATCTTTGGATACCCACTGCAGTCAGTTTCCTAGACCGTCTGGCTTTTAATGTGCTATAGTTTGGGGTTTACAATGTAATATGAGCCTTCTCTCTTTCATAAAGCCAGATAACTACACCAAGTAAATTGTAAAAGACAGACTTAAATAGTTGGTTTACTATGACTGAACTGAACTATTAAAAGCTCTCTAAGGGTAGTGTTCTTAAGGTCTTAGCTACAAATGACTATTTCCCTAAATTGTAAGGAAGACCACAGCAAGTTTACATGTCATTTACCTGCCCCCATCCAAGTTTTGGTAAAGTAGATTTGTAGCAACAGATGTAAAATAACATTGTCTCTTGCTTATACTGTCCATTTTTACTAATTGGAAAGATGATCTAAAAATATATATGGTAGAGGATGGAGATGTTAGAAAGTAATTCTTTTTGGTTACAGACACCATTGTAAACTCTTGTATGGATTTATAGATGGTATTATGGTAGAAGTGTTTCAGCACAAGAAAACAATTTGTACTGAGTTACCAGTTTAGTTGTCAGAGGCTTTTGAATTATCCAGGTTGATCACGCCATTCTTTTTATTTAAGGAGTCTAATTTAGTAATATGGATTTCTTATTTTTGAAGTCAGGAGTTTTAATTTTTGCTGTGGTAAGTAGAACTCTCCTTTAAATAAAAATGACAGAATGTAAAGTATATAATTTTGGGTCAGAGAGCTTTAAATTTTTTTCTTAATTTTTATTCATTTTTTGAGGGAGAGACAGAGCATGAGTGGGGAAGGAGCAGAGAAAGAGGGAAACACAGAATCTGAAGCAGGTTCCAGGCTCTGAGCTGTCAGCACAGAGCCTGATGCGGGCTTCAAACCCATGAACCATGGAGATTATGACCTAAGCTGAAGTTGGATGCCTAACCAGCTGAGCCACCCAGGCACCCCAGGATTAGAGAGCTTTAAGTAAAGCATATTCATTATAGAAAACTGAGAAAATACAGAAAGGAACCAAAAACAAAAAGAAAAATCACCACTAATTCTCTAACCCAGAGAATATTCATAGTAAAATACAGATTTCTTTTGCTTTGTAATTGGGATCGTTCTATGTATAAATTTGTTAGGGAATACATTTTAAGGTACTTGTTGAACATCATCTTTCTGAAATATTTAAAATGAATTTTGAATTTTGTTAATTTTGTTTGAATTTAAAAATATTTAGCTGTACTGCTTTCTTTTCTTTGAGGAGACCCTGAAAGCCTATTTCACTCATGAGGCTGCATTTTCTAGGTAACAAGCTAAATTAAATTCTCCTTTCATGTAATTAAGTAGCATAAGATTATATAACAGATACATCACTGTATTTGAAAGGAATAAATAAGATGCTTGTGAATATGTTGTAGGAGGACACTTTATTTGGTAAGATTGGCTTGTTTCATAAAGGAGTGTTAGTCTAGATTCACACTGTTCAGTATTGTAGCCATTACATGTGGCTAAAAACTTTAAAGGTAAAAATGAAGTTTTCCAGTTGCACTAGTTACATCTCAGCCACATAAGGATAGTAGCTAGTTACCATGGTGATTTAGATGCTTTCACTTAAGAAAATAGTTTAAAGAAATGAGATGAAAAGTTTTAGGAAGAGGAATGTAATACGTCACTTAGAAAATTTAAATGATCTGTCTTAGGAAATGAGGAATATTAGATGAGGCTATTTCAGAAAACAAAACCGGGAGCAATAGGAAGAGTGTTCTATTTAAGTGCTACTATTTATGTCAGGTGGTGGGTTAGTCAACTTCCATATATTACATAATACCAATCTTGAGTGAGGTTACTGTTGAAGAAACTGAGGACCAGCGAGGTTAAGTTGCTCAATTAACACCACACAGCTTAAAAAAAAAAAAAAAAAAAGTCTGGGTATGTGACCCCAAAGGGTTATCCCATACTAGATGGAATCTTCAGAGGTAGAATTTGCCTTGATCTTCCAAGAACATAGATTTCCAGAGATAATTAAGATGACTCTTTAAATCGTTAATTCTATCATTCTATCACTGTATTGGCAATATCAACATATCAGCTCCAGCTGAGCCTACCATCTTTAAGACTAAGAATTGATCCCTCTATGAGGAAGGTTGTTAAATATGTTCTAAACTTCTGTGGATTAATAATACCAATGGAAAGAGTGAATTGGGAAAATGGAAGTGTGAGTAACATTTGCTGTAGTGAACTGATCCTCATCCCTGCCTCCCATTTTCATTCCAGCTTGGATTCTTTATGAGGCTTTCAGTTAAAACTGCTGTAAGGCTATTTTTCCTGTATTATGGACCAAAATATGCTTAATGTAAAGGAGTGGAGCAAGTGAAGTGAAAGAGAACATTGGGCAAATTAAAGAAGTTACACTCTTGTTTAAAGGGATGGCCCTTACTGGTATTCAGCCTTGTGTTGCCTTGTGTAGCCTTAATGTTATCGGTCCCAGAACTGTACCTCATGTGATAAATTAACAAATGTATGTTTATTCATACACTAGACATTTATTCATACATTACAGTTTTATTTTTGTGTACAAAGTTGTTTAACAATCACTGAATTTCTAGGCCAGGTTCAGGTAACTGAAGAGCCTTTATAACTAATTTATATTGTCTAGATCCAAGGTATGCTGCAAACATGGTCTGGAGCAAAATGGGAAATAACATCTTTCTAAAGACAGGCTTAGAAATTCTAGTCCAGTAAGTTAAGATGTTTCCTTTTTCTGGTAGCAGGGCTGACTCATACCTATAAGAAAACATTGAGACAATTCTCTAGAAAAGACAGTTGTATCAAATGGTACAATATCTATTAATCCCAGAAGTCTTAAGATAAAACTAGTTTAGGTAAAGATTAAGGTAATTCGGTTATTCTCTTTGATGTCATTAGTCTTTAAAACCATACTTTTGGGTTTTTTGACCCTTTATCCACTTTACCTTTGAAGGCGCATATAGCTTATATTGCTAGATATGAATTCATCAGAAAATAACTGCAATATTTGGCTTATAGCTAGCCATTTTGTGATGGAATTTTTCTTTAATGAGCTCTCATGCTTGGCAGAGTAATGTTTGCAGCTTTGTAGCTGGCATTCAATAAACAAATTAAGGTTACGAACCTATATACCCAAGAGGTATAGTGGCATCAATTTCTAGAACTGTTTTCAAATTCTTGAGAAGTAGTCATTTATATATTTTTGAAGTTTTTCAATGATTATGAGGAAAAAAAAGAATCCTACCTGGCTGCTAGGCCACCATTCACAGGTATAGCCAAGAAAACAGGGTACAGACCACCAAAAACAAGACCAACCAGTCCACCCCGTGTTATGGTACAGGTTTCACAATTCAAATCACCTAGGAAATAAATCAGTTCTAAAATGGTCATGATAGTCAAGCAAACATGATTTTTTTTTTTAATGTTTTTTTCAATGTTTATTTATTTTTGGGACAGAGAGAGACAGAGCATGAACGGGGGAGGGGCAGAGAGAGAGGGAGACACAGAATCGGAAACATGCTCCAGGCTCCGAGCCATCAGCCCAGAGCCTGACGCGGGGCTCGAACTCACGGACCGCGAGATCGTGACCTGGCTGAAGTCGGACGCTTAACCGACTGCGCCACCCAGGCGCCCCATGGCAAACATGATTTTAAAAATGCAAGCTTATCTTAAATGTGTCACAAAGAACTCAATTTTCAGGCAGCAAATACAAATCTACAAGGCATATTAGAAGGTATAATGTGTATGGATAACCTAAAATGGCCATGAATAACGAAACCATCTTAGGAAAAATACTCTAATTTGTTTTGAACTTGAATATAATAATCTCAGTTTGCACTGCTTCTGCTTTCTGCACTTGTATTGGCAAACCTGAGGTAATCTGTCTTCAGGAAACTTGTAACTCATTTTTAAAAAATGATTTTTACTTCATTTTCTGTTTTTATATTATATAGCGTGACTATTTTCATAAAATTCTTTATTCATTTCCAAATTAGTATAAGCTATTTTAAAAACAGAAAGCTAAATTAATAACTTTAAGTTTTAGTCTGTTCGGTTCACTGGGTGATAGGTTTCCCTAGATCTTAAAGATTCTTTCCACAGTGATCATGGGGATTCATGCAAAATATTCATCCAGTTTAAACCATTTTGGAACACTTAAGAGAATTTAAGTGGACTATCTCCCTTCCATCTGACCATCACCTGCAGTAATAATATTTTTATTTGAAATCAGTCAAAAAATTTTCATGATTAGCCATACAGGCATACCTTGTTTTATTGTGCTTCATTTTATCATGCTTTGCAGGTAATGCATTTTTTTTTTTTTAATTGAAGGTTTGTGGCAACTCTGTTTTGCGTAAGTCTGTAGGCACCATTTTCCCAGCAGCATTTGCCCACTTCATGTCTCTGTGTCATATTTTGGTAATTCTCATAACATTTCACACTTTTTCATTATTGTTACATTTGTTATGGTGAATGGTGATCTGTAACCAGTGATTACCACTTGTTCAAAGCTTAAATGACAGCAATATTTTTAAGGTACATGCATTGGTTTTTTTAGACATAATGCTATTGTACACTTTAAACAGACTATAGCATATTGTAAACATAACTTTTATATGCACTGGGAAACCAAAAAATTCTCTGGACTTTGCTAAAACATTCACTTTATTGCAGTAGTCTGGCTAACCTGCAATATCTCCAAGGTATGCTTATACTGAAAGCACTCAGCACATACGGTAAACAATCAAAAGGAAATGAAGTCTCCATATATTTGTAATTCTTGTATATACATTTAGTGCATTGGGAGATTTAATCTATAAAGGGTCTTATTCCCTTCAGTTTTTCCCCCCCTTTTTTCCTCTATACAATTTTTTTGAAAACTAAGGCAGCGGGGTGCCTGGGTGGCTCAGTCGGTTAAGTGTCTGACTTCGGCTCAGGTCATGATCTCACGGTCTGTGAGTTCGAGCCCCACGTCGGGCTCTGTGCTGACAGCTAAGAGCCTGGAGCCTGTTTCAGATTCTGTGTCTCCCTCTCTCTCTGACCCTACCCCATTCATGCTCTGTCTCTCTCTCTCAAAAATAAATAAACGTTAAAGAAAAAAGAAAACTAAGGAAGCATTTAAAAAAAAAAATTACACATATTTCTTTAAGTATTGTGGGAAAGAACTTAGCTAAAGAAAACTATAACTGCTATGAGTGTGCATTTCACTTGCATAGAAGACTAACTTGTTATATGAACTGCCACTTTATACAGGCTAGCAAGTTTCAGTCTTATCCATGCACCGACTAAGATATATCATATTAACCTGGTGTTAATATTTAAGGATTAATGTAAAGTGCAAATAATATATACCAAAGCAAACTCTGGTGATAGTGAAATCGAATTTACCTGTATTCAAAGGTAGATTTACAAAACCTTTGTAAGATGCATGCGCAGTCAAAAATGGGATCACTGCCATTGGTAAGCCAGCAGCTATACGAGCCTGTGTCACGTTTAAGATGCGTCGAAAAAGACTATTTGCTATTAGACCACAGAGAGCAGCATTAAGTCCGATATAAACTGATCCATGTTCAAATAGATTCCTGAATGGTGAGAAAAAAAGAGTAACTTTTTTTGTGTGTGCTGTCCAACAATTCTGGTGTAAACACGACAGAATTATAGGAGTAACAGGATACCACATTTATCCCTTAGAGTTCTGTAAAACAAAAACCTTTTAGAATAATGTTTTTTTTTTTAATTTTTTTTTCCACGTTTATTTATTTTTGGGACAGAGAGAGACAGAGCATGAACGGGGGAGGGGCAGAGAGAGAGGGAGACACAGAATCGGAAACAGGCTCCAGGCTCCGAGCCATCAGCCCAGAGCCCGACGCGGGTCTCGAACTCACGGACCGCGAGATCTTGACCTGGCTGAAGTCGGACGCTTAACCGACTGCGCCACCCAGGCGCCCCTAGAATAATGTTTTATGTATAGATTTTTATTCTAAGGTCTTTTGAATTTGTTCAACAATTAAGGATAGAGTGATACATTTAGATCTTGCTGAATGGACTTTGTGATTTTGCATGAGACAGTATAGAAATTTCCCACAACAATGTAACCGGGAAGAGCTTCTGAAGGGTCTTGTGAATGCCTCTTCTTTGGGCTCCCACAATATCCAATACTTAACTCTAGCACAACAGATGATAAGGTGGATCTATCTTACAAACACTTCTATGTCAGGCTTCCCCACCAGTCTTCAAGTAAATAACTTGAAGATAATGGATACAAAGATATATTTGTCTTGTTTTCAGTAGCACCTGACACCTAAAAGGCATTCATTAAGGTGAAATTAATAGGTTTCCTTGCACTTTACCCTGAAGGATTAGAATCAGGATAGGGAGGTGGAAGAGTACTAATATTTAAGGGATATCCTATGCTAGGTACTTTAGAACAACCCACTGAAATAAAGAAGAAATTGATGTTTTGAGTTAGTAAGAGGTAGAATTGGTTTTTAGCCAAGGTATGTATGAATTTTAAAATGCATGTTCCATGCTTTCTTTAGTTTTGGAAAAAAATAATACCTAAACGTATTGCTGGATACTGAAAGTACTCCAGACTCTTTAGCCTACCACTTTTCTACCACCTGCCTTGCCATCTACAACACAGGCATCAAACTCTAAAAATTTCTCATTATTTATTTAGCCAGACGACCCACACAATGCCCCCTAATTTCTGTGGTTAACACTCATCTTAAAAAGTTTTTCTAGGAATTCCTAATTGAGCTTCCTACATTGTATAAGGCATTACTTTTCTTACCTGTCACTCTGCAATCATAATGGTGCTTGTCATTCAATCACTGAGTACCTACTACACGCAGCAGACTTGATGCTGGAGACAAAAAATTATCTATCTTCTACCTTCAGTGTTTTCATAGTTTATTATTGGAGGATGAAAGACATGTGAGCATGAGATAAAACAAGTCTATTGAAATCGTAATGGAAGTATAAGAGAGAGGCAGTTTAGAAACTTAGGGTACACAAGATATATTTAAAAAGTGAGGAGAGCCTAGAGAACCTTCCAAACAATAACAGAAAACCCATGAAAGTGAAAGACCTACGTATTTTTGTATTTTTGAATAGCAAAGTTTATGGCCTCCCAAATTTTAATTTCTTATGGTTTAGAGTCACATTTTTTAGTTAGTAATTCAGTACAAAACAGTTACTATCTAGCAGCTCCTTTGCAAGTCAGTTTTCCAAGAAAGTGCCTATATTACTAGAAACTCATGACTGTTTGGCAAGACACACACAAAACAACTAGACAACATGAATGAAACACATGAAATAGAAGATCACAATTAAGTGGCAATGAAATATATGGTACATAAAATTATTTTGTAGATCAGAAAGTGAAGTTTTTGATATTAAAGTTTCATACACCTCAGGACTTTTCAAATACCTATTAAACATATCTAATGATAATGCAAGACCAGGTGAGGATTCAAACTTAAGAGAACAAGGATAAGAAAATAGGAATGGGAAAAATATGAAATAAGTCAAAGATAAGGAGACACTCATCTGCCCTGTTCAGGTGCCAATGCCTGAGAGCAATTTTTACTTCCAAATTAAAGCTTACTTACTATGCAGTTCCAGCTTACTTCCCCACTGTTTCTGCATTCTTATTTGGTGAAAGTCCCAGTGAGATAGCCTGCTTTTTTCAAAGCTGCCACCACCTATTATGTCAGTCTTTCTGGCTCTCTACCTTACTGAGCTGGAAACATGGACACAGGCCCTTTATTGCTTGAAAAGTTCTGTTACCTCCCTCAGGAAAACAACAAAAGGACGTACAATGTGTGTGTGTGTGTGTGTGTGTGTGTGTGTGTGTGTGTGTGTGTGTGTGTGGTGGGGGAAGAGCTGTAGGATATACAGCTTATGAATCTCACCAAGTTCTTATTGCTGCCCTTGGTCTATAGGTTCTCTCTTGTTGGGCTAAGTAGCAGCAAGACTGGAATTTACTCCAAAATGTATTTCAAATCCACCTTTTTCATGTCCAATGACCCCACCCCTGCCATCACCACCTACCAACATTACTATACCAGTTTTCTTACTGGTCTTAAATTTCTCTCCTACCTTAAATCTAGTTCCCCAAAGCAACTGGAATGTTTAGAAATGTTACCTGGATCACATCATTCCCTGCTTAGAACTCTTCCTTTTCCTTCAATCTTATGCCCACTTCCCTGTTTTTCAGTAACACTGATTCCTCAGGTATGATCAACATTTTGCCACCTTGTGGCCTAGGCATATGCCATCCACTCTGCCTGAGATACTGTGTCTCTCTCCTCCCTAGGCTGGCTCGCCTTCATGCTTTTTGGTCTCATAATTTCTCTTTAAATGGAACCTATTCAGAGAGGTCTTCCTGCTATAGAAATGCACTATTCAGTGCTGTCTTCAGAGATACTCTGTTTCCTATATAGCCTTTTTCTATTTAATAATATAGATCTTTAAGCCATGATCTCATTTCTCTGGCATTTCTTGTCATGTGTGTCACATGGCACTCTCTTGGACTGTAAAACATAGTTCTAGAAATAAACTGACAAGACAATTTAAAAGCCATCTTAAAGGTCTATTATTTAGATGAGTCTATAAATGTTCACATCTGACTATACTCTTACCTAAATGGAAAAACTGAGCACTATCATATAATTAGATATGTCCAAAGGCATGAATTCTAGCCTTAACTTCAAGCAAAATAGTTAACCTCTCCTGGTCTTGGGTTTTCTCAGTAAGGCAAGAAAAAGAACTCAGTTTCCTTCTGACATTTTATGTTTATATTCAAATCAAATAAATGTGAGATAATGAACGAATGACGAAAATCCACCTGGTAAAAGATATTTTTAAATTAAATTTAAATTAAATTACCTTTCTGCTTCTGGGAGGTGGTTAATTTTTCTGGTTATGATATTGAAAATTAAGTCTTCCTTGACAGTATCATCTGGTTCATGATTTTTCATCTTGAGCCTTAAAAAATTAAAATATTTCTCAATAATATGTATCTATAGAAAAACAACAAAAAGGCTTATAAAAAGCTTTATAAATACCATAAATATTTAATTAAAAAATTAGCTATAACTTGAATTCATAATCTGAAAAATCAATGCATACACACCATACCAAAAAATATATTCTAAGTGAAATAGAATCAGAACATGAAGAGCAACCCATAAAGCTTCTAGGAAATACAGAATAGCTTTATAATCCTTAAAATATTTCTGAATTTGTAAACAGCACTAAACATAACACCTAAAGCTAACATTAAGCCAATATTAACTGATTAAAATTAAGAACTTGGGTTGATCAATAGCTACTATAAAGATAAGCCAGTCTGGGAGAAAATGTCTGCAATATAACTGACAGAAGAGCAGTTAGTACCCAGAATATGTAAAGAAGTGCATATATCAAGAAAAAGGCAAGCAACCCAATAGAAAAGTTGACACAAGGTTTGAACAGGTACTTTCACAAAGAGGGAAGCAAACAGCCAATAAATATGAAAATATGTTTAACCTCATTATAAAAAATTAAAACCACCATGAGATATCAGTCTGTACCTGGGTTGGCTAAATTAAAACCTCACAATTTCAATTACTGGCAAAAATGCTGGGTAACTGGAACTCTCATGTGCCACTGGTCAAAGTGTACACAACCACTTTAGAATAAAGAATTTGGTATTTTTTAGTAGGTAGAAGAAACATATAATCAATTTCACTTTCAGGTATACCCTAAAGTAGAAATCTGCACACTTTCTCTAAAGGGCCAGCTAGTAATGTAGAGTAGGGGGATGGTGAACTATGAGTATTAGCCTGAAGATTTAGCTCATTAAACAAGATTTCAAGGTAGCAGAGTTCAAAGCAAAAGTTCAGAAATAACAGCAAAATACAACACAGTTTTATGAAATTAGATTTTTGTTATACATTTGCTATGAGATTAATTTACAACACCAATTTCTTGCTGGGTACCTGTTAGATATAAGACCTCATTTGGAACATGTTGAGTGAAATGAAATTTCATATCCCTAGATTTAAAATTAATAAGTACAATGTAGACTTAGAAATTTACATCTAGTTTCCTGGACACTAACTTTTTGAGGGTCTTGGTTATAGTACCATGACAGACACCATCTCTGACCTACAGGAACTTTGAATAATTCTGTTTATGTGCTGGAGGCGCACGTGTGTTGTGTGGATCGATATAGAAATTCAGTAAAAACAGAGAAATTTGGGGTGCCTGGCTGGCTCAGACGGTTAAGCCACCGACTTCAGCTCGGGTCGTGATCTCGCTGTTCCTGAGTTCAAGACCCCTCTGCGCTGACACCGCAGAGCCTGGAGCCTGTTTCAGATTCTGTCTCCCCCCTCTCTGCCCCTCCCCCGCTCACGCTCTGTCTCTCCTTCTAAAATAGATATTATAAAAAAAAATCTAAAAAATGTACTGAGAAAGTGTACGATGTATATAGTTCTGAAATAAATTGTTTCCTTAGAAAGTCCAGCCTGCTGCTGGACTAGTTTTCTATTTTATGCTCTGCATATTGACGAGGTTCCGAGTTCTGTGAACTAGCTTTTTCTAACATGTGGCTATTAAAAGTCTTCCTTAATTCAAAAAAGTTCTGCCATAGCAGCCTGCAGTAGGCCTTTGTATCTGCGTTACTAACAATAAATCCAGGGGTGCCTGGCTGCTCAGTCCGAAGAGCATGCGACTCTTGATCTCGGGGGTCCTCAGTTCAAAGAGCATGCGACTCTGTTGATTTCGGGGGTCGTGAGTTTGAGCTCCACTTTGGGTGTAAAGATTACTTTCAAAAAATTTTTTAATAAAATAAAAACAAAAACATAATGAATCCAAGTCCAAAACAATGTCACCTTTAAATCCTACAAACATTTTTAAAAGCTTTTGCTTTAGCTATCTCACAGCCCTCAGGATAGCTCTTAGATAGGCAAAGGGCCAAGTGGGGCCTCTGAAAATTAAGTTAGGCCAGGGTCACCCTGGCTATTAGCAGTAAAGCCAGGATTAAATTCAAACGCAGACTTTTTTTTTTTTTTTCCTATTAGCTTAATTTAAATATAAGGTCTTTTCTTCTAGGATGTAAAGTGAAGAGACGGTAGGCGTCGTCTCCCCTCCTCCCTCTTCCGACCCAGTCAGTGGATCTCATTCCCGTGCTGCAGGTGAGCGGCACGTCACCGCGCTGTACCTCTCTTGGTACCCGAGCATTTACTGCACCCTTTCCCCAGAATGCCATTACCTTATGCTCTGCTCACAACCCTCCTCGGCACGCTGGGGTTCACGCCAACCTTTGCTCAACTAGCCTGAACGCAGCCATCTTTGGCTGACACGTGACTTGGGTCAGGCAGGCGCCGGGTCGCGGGCCCTGATTGGGCTTCCAGCACAGAGGTTGCCTGCAGTAGAAACTTCCTGCTGGGGGAGTTCAGCCGACGGAAGTGGTGGGCCGCTGAGTGAGGAGTGGGTTTTCGGGAGCGCAGAGGGTGCTTGTTAACAACCTATCCCCCGCCTTCCAGGACAGAGTCTGTGGAAATTGTGCAATTTCGGTATCAGAGTGACCGTAATGCTTCTCCTTTCACTGAAAACCTACCTTGGACACATTACTTCAGTTCCTGGCCAATAGAGCCAACCTCATGTGTTGAGATAGGGTATATAGAAAACTGCACAGCCCTTGGCATGCTATAGGTAGTTAAAAGAAGCTGAGATTTCTTGGCTCCATCGGTTTTTTTATTCTCCCTTGAATCTTAAGTTCCCGTGCTACGTTGTGATCTGGTTAAATGTTCCACCACATTCTGAACACCTCAAGAGCAAGCGAGAGTTGTTGTTTTTTTTTTTTTTTTTTTTTTTTTTTTTTTTTTTTCTGAGGATCTCTGGTGCCCTGCTGAGGACTGCTTATTAAAAAAAAAAGGTTGGGTGAATTATGGTGAAAGAAAAACTAGAGAGAGAGCTAGTGGCTTCGTAAGTCAGAACAATTGAGAACCAAAGTCTTGGACCAAGCCTCTGAAGACCTCTCAGTTCTCATCTCCATTGGTTCTTTTCTCATCTATAAAACAGGAGGGGAAATACTCTCCTTGATTATTTTGTAAAGTTGTGAGGATCCTATAAAAGTGCTTGCCAAGGTTGCTTTGGAAATGACTGAGCTTTATCAAGGAGAAAGAGGTATTCAAAATAAAGAGGGAAAATTTCATTGGCGAGGTGAGGAGAAGAGTGCCCAAAACTCCTTTGGCTGGGAGGAATTTATCCAATGTCAAATCGTCGCTGGTCAATAAACCAGAAAATTAAAACAGGTCCTCAGATTCCAAGCCAAAAAGCCAGTATACTCCTCACCTGGAAAGTTTCCTAGGTAAAAGTCAGAGACAGTTTGAGAAAACCAGCTTAAGATGCTAACCGTAACGTCTGTTCGCACGCGTGAGTGCGTGCGCAAGTGACTACTTTGTCTCCATTCTATACTCATTCAAATTTAATTTTTAACGGTTTTAAGCTAATTTTAAAATCTATAAATATTCGTGCTGTACAGTATCTGCAGCATGCCATTCTGAAGTAATAAAAGCAATTTAGTAATTGAGATTTTATTTAAAAAATCAGTTCTTCACAAGAAGAAACGTCCATTTCATCTAAATTCTCAAATTATTAGCTTAAATTGTTTACTATATTTTCTTATTAGCCTTTAAGTCTGTAGAACGGGTAGTGAGATCACATTTCTCTTGATATCTGTCATTTGTGTCTGTCTTCTCTTTTTTTGAGTGTCTGGTCAATCTGGCTAATGGTTGGTTTGATCTTCTCAAGTAACCGGATTGTTTTTTCTTTTTTAAATTCCATTGTGGTTTTTTTTTTGTTGTTGTTGTTTTGTCTTCAATTTGATTGTTTTGTACTTTGATCTATATTATTTGTTTTCTTCTTCCTACCTGGGATTTAGTTGCTCCTCTATAATTTTTTTTTTAATTTATTTATTTATTTTGAGGAGCAGGGGAGGGACAGAGGGACAGAGAATCCCAAGCAGGCTCACACCAGCAGCACAGAACCTGTAATGGGGCTCCAACCCACTAACATGATATCATGACCTGAGCTGAAATCAAGAATCGGGGGCTTATCTCCAAATTCTTTAGGAAGGAGCTGAGGCCATTTGAAGTGAGATCTTTCTCCCACCCCCAACATATGTGTTTAGTGCTATGAATTTCCCTCCAAGTACTGCTTTAACTGTATCCCACATATTTTGAAATGGTTATCATTTTAATTTGGTTCAAAACACTTTCTTTTTTTAATTTTTTTAAATGTTTATTTATTTTTGAGAGAGAGACAGAGAGAGTGTGAGTGGGGAGGGGAAGACAGAGAAGGAGACACCGAATCTGAAGCAGGCTCCAGGCTCTGAGCGTCAGCACAGAGCCCGATGTGGGGCTCGAACTCAAGAACTGAACCATGAGATCATGACCTGAGCCAAAGTTGGATGCTTAAACGACTGAGTCAGCCAGGAGCCCCTGGTTCAAAACACTTTCTAATTTCTCTTTGCTTTTTTTCTTTGATCCATCAGCTATTTAGAAGTATGTTTATTAGTTTTCTAATAGTTCCAATTCCCCATGTACCTTTCTGTTAATATTTCTAATTCAATTCCATTATGGTCACAGAATATACTTTGTATGATTTGGATCCTTTAAAATTTATTGATATTTATAGCCCAGATTCTGGTCCATGTTGATAAATGTTCCATGTTTGATTGAAAATAATGTATATGCTGCTGTTGTTGTGCCAAGTGTTCTAAGACATCAGTTATCACAAATTGGTTGATAGCATTGTTTAAGACTTTTTATCCTTTCTGAATTGCTACCAACTTGTTCTATCAGTCACTGAGAGGTTAATGAAATCTCCAACTATTATGGAAATTTTCCTATTGTTCCTTTCAATTCTATCAGTTCTTGCTTCATGTGTTTTGAAGTTCCATATTATATGAATAAATATTTAGGATAAATTGATCCCTGTATAACTATGAAATTACCTTCTTAATAATTGGTAATATCTTTTGCTTTGTAATTCACTTTGTTTAATATTAATATAGCTACTACAGTAACTTTTTGAAATTAGTATAAATATGACATAGCTTTCCCTATCCTTTTGCTTTTTAACCTACTTGTGTCTTTGTACTTAATGCAGGCTTTATAGGCAGGAGATAATTGGATTTTTAAAATCTAAATTGACAATTTCTGACTTTTAATGAAGGGGGGTGGTTAGGCCATTTGTATTTAATATGATTTTTATATCCCAGGGTTTAAAATATATCACCTTGAAATCTGTTTTCTATTTCTTCCATCTGTTCTATGTCCCCCTTTTCTTTCTGCTTTTGTTTGTTTGTTTTGACTACTTGAATATTTTTATTACATTCTATTCATTTACTGGCCTATTACCTACAGTTCTTTTTAAAAATTGCAATGATTGCTTTAGCATGTATAGTACTGTATACACCTGTTTTAGTTTCCTCAGGCTATTGTAAGAAAGTACCAGAAACTGGGCAGCTTACAACAACAAATTTATTTGCTCACTGTTTTGGAGGCTAGAAATCTGAAATCAATGTATTGGCAGGGTTGGTTCCTACTGGAGGTGTTGAAGGACAATTTGTTCCATGCTTCTCTCCTAGCTTCTGGTGTTTGCTGGCAAACCTTGATGTCTCTGGTCAATGCATTGCTCCAATTTCTTCTGTATTCACATGGCATCTATCCCTGTGTCTTTGTGCTTTCACAGGGTCTTTTTCCCTCTGTGTGTGCCTATGTACCCAAATTTCTCTAGTCTAATGAAAATGCTAGTCATTCATTAAGGGCCCACCCTAATCCAATATACCTCATCTTAACTTGATTACATCTGCAAAGACCCTGTTTCCAAATAAGGATGCATTCACAGGTACTGAGGATTAGAACTTGCAAATATATTTTGGAGGGACACAATTAAACCTGCAACATCTTTAACTTATCACAACCTATCTTCAAGTAATATTATACCATTTTATGTATGATAAAAGAATGTTACAACAGTATACTTTTCTTTATTTCTTCTTGGTCTTTTCATTATTATCATACATTTACTTCTAAGTATGTTATAAACAACACAATACATGGTTATTTTTTGTTTATTTCAATGGTCATTTGTCTTTGAAAGCATTTTTTTTAATGTTTATTTGTTTTTGAGAGAGAGCGAGCGAGCACACACATAAGCTGGGGAGGGGGTGGCACACAAGCCAGGGGTGGGTGGTGCAGAGAGGGAGACACAGAATCCAAAGCAGGTTTCAGGCTCTGAACTGTCAGCATAGAGCCCAATGCGGGGCTCGAACTCACAAGCCATGAGATCATGACCTGAACTGAAGTTGAAGGCTCTACGGACTGAGCCACCCAGGTTTCCCTGAAACACTTTTAAAACTAAGAAAATTTACCTTTATCCACATATTTTCCATCTGTAGTACTCTTCATTCTTTTTATTTATTTTTATTTATTTATTTTATTTTATTTTTATTCATTTATTTAGCCTTTTAATTTTATTTTTTATTATAAAATATGTAAATGTTTGAAAACAAAAATTGGGAATTACTATTGGTAATTAGTTGCACATATAGTAATAATTAATTGGAAGCAAAATATTACATTTCAAAGTATGATATTCAAATTATGATAAGCATATCCTTATCAAAACTGTTAATTTATTTTTTTTTATTTTTATTTAGATTCCAGTTAACATGTAGTGTAATATTGGATTCAGGAGTAGAATTTAGTGATTCATCACTTACATATAACACCCAATGCTCAACACAACAAGAGCCCTCCTTAATACCCCTTCATTCTTTTTATAGATATTCCATTTGGTATCATTTTCTTTCTACTGTCATTTCTTAGAATGCAAATCTTCTGGTAGTGGATTCTCTCACATTTTTCCAACTCCAAAAAGTATTTAACCTTAGTTTTAAAATTGTGGTAAAAAACACATAACATCAAATTTACCATGTTAACCATTTAAAAATGTTTGGTTCAGTAATGTTAAGTATATTCAGTGTTATGCAACAGATCTCTATATTTTTTCTTTTTTTTTTAGGTTTTTTAATGTTTTTATTTTATTTTTGAGAGAGAGAGACAGAGTGTGAGTGGGGGAGAGGCAGAGAGAGAGAGGGAGACACAGAATGTAAAGCTGGCTCCAGGCTCTGAGCTGTCAGCACAGAGCCTGACGCAAGGCTCGAACCCACGAACTGTGAGACCATGACCTGAGCTGAAGTCAGATGCTTAACTGACTGAGCCACCCAGGAGCCCCTATAATTTTTTCTCTACTGAAGTTCTATACCCACTTAATACTAATTACTCCTCTCCACTCCTCTCAGCCTTTGGTAAACACCTTTCTACTTTCTGTTTCTTTGGATTTAGCTACTTTAGATACTTCATATAAGTGGAATCATACTTTATTTGTTTTTTGTGACTGGCTTATTTTATTTGGTAAATTTCCATCCATTCTGCAGCATGTTACAGGATTTACTGCTTTTTAAAGAATGCATAATATTATGGAGCACCTGGGTGGCTCAATCAGTTAAGCATCTGACTTTGGTTCAGGTCACGATCTCACAGTTCTGTGAGTTTGAGCCCTGCATCTGATGAGCTGAAGCCCCACCTTGGGTGTGCCCCACTTCTCTCTCTCTCTCTCTCTCTCTCTCTCTCTCTCTCTCTCTCTCTCT